ATAGTATTTCCTGGTGTGAGTGCTGAAATCACCACAAATGTGCCCTGCTGAAATCTCGAGATGGAGCCTATTCTAGATCCTCTGGACATCTAGTGTACAGATGAATATGTCCAGCCATACACAAGTTATTTCTTTAGATTAAAGTGATGTGTGGCCAAACAAAAGTAGATACCCTCAAGCTGGGCTTGTATGAAGTGTTCATTAACCAACATGAACTTGATCCTCCCACTTCCCGGAGCTCACCACTGACACTCCTGGCTGCATTCTCCTGTTCTAGCATTTTGTAGTAGAGGCCGTAGCCACTCACAGGAGCACAGACAGCCCACAAAACCTCACCACAGGAACCAGGAAAGTGAATCATGTCCTGCTTCACTGAGCCCGGCTGCACCCACACTAAGTGAGGTCAGTGCTCAGGACATTGTGTTCTTGTTTGGCCAAGAGCCCTCCACGGGCCAGTCCAGGATAGGTCTGAACTCAAGAAAAACTGATGCTGAACAACTCCATTTAGCACACCGAGAGTGTTATAAAGCCAGGCTTGGTCACATGGTCTCAGAGCCGTAAACATGTCTGCTTGCATGCATTTTATTCTGTTCCTTTCTGTTTGTTAGTTAGACACCAGTATAATTGCTTTTGAAATGCAAATGCTTTTGAATCTTTCCACCACCCATTCCATACACAAGGCACTGGAATTCGACAAATTCTCCTTGTCACTGTAACTAATTGACAGACTCGTGCTCATAGATTCCTGCAGTAATGAAGTCCATTTGGCTCTGATGAGTCTAAACCTGCCAAATATAAATGGGGCCAGCTGGGTTTTGTAGACTTAAGTTCTCTATGTATCTATCTAGTTCCCTGGCAGGTTTTTAATTCTATCTTCATACTGTCTACAGTTTAAAGGAGTACCGGCCCTCTTTAACATTGCCCTTTTTATCTCATAATTCTGCTCTCCCATCACACAGGAGTGGAAGACATGGACCAGGCAAGTTATTGAGTGTCCCGTCCCTAGTGGGAAATTATGTTATTTTATCTGAATGGTACTAATCAAGTTGTTTTGGTTACACTTATTGGTTACACTTTACTTGAGGACATGAATAATGTAGTAGTATGTGCTTACTTAATGCATTAATTAACCAGTAACTAAGTGTTAATTATGTACTAATCCTATGCTTGTTCATCCTTAATCAATCATGACAGTTCATGTATTCCACTCTCTATAATGGGAAGACCACTTGGAGGCCAAAAAAATATTTACTACTCAAGAACTAATCATGAACTAATATAGGTTCCCCTCATTAAATATAGGAAATGTCATGATTGATGAATGATGAATGAACATAGGATCAGTATTTAACAAACAATTAGTTACTGGTTAATTAATGCAAGTAAGCATGTACTACTACATTATTCATGTCCTCTCAAGTGAAGTGTTACCCAATTATTTAATTTTTTAATTTTAAGGAATCCCTACTAATGTTGAATCCAAACTTTGGGTAAATTGAATTAACTCCTTTAATTGGACGTTCATATATGTCATTCAAATTAGGTTTCATTTAGCATTAGGAGAAAGTTTAGTTAACTCTTTGTGGTGTTTTTTCCTTATTCAGACGCATTTGTTTATAGTGTCAGATTTTTATGCCTAGAGCCGTCATGACAGAGGTATACAGTTAGTATTTGAAGAGCATATCAAGTTATATATGTAAAGTTATTTAAACTTCCATTTATTTTTTTCTTATAAAAACACTATTACACTGTGGGGAGAAGAAATTTTGGATCAACGTCAAGTATTTCTACTGCAAAAATGTTTTTACCATGAAAAAGAAGGGGATACATAAAATGTGTAAAATAAACACTGAAGGAAGGTGGCGTGATTCCCAGGCTGTTAATTACTTTTGGAAGCGAAAGGTTAGTCTCTGCTCACTGAAACAGCCATACAGTATGTGTGTTTTTTTCTTCCTTTCAGAGACCAAACGAGCTGGGAAAAAACATTAGCTGTGGCTTTTTCTACTTTAGAAGGATTATTGCTGTATGCTCAGTATGATTTTATTAGAGAAGATGCTCTTTTTTGAGATTGCCAGGGTCAGGGTTTTGGGAGAAACTAGCTCATATTTTTCTCAAACAATAACCTCAAACAACTTACAACGTGTGTGTGTGCTCACACAAATGTAAAACATATTTACAGTATGAGTTCTACTTAAACAAAAGTAGTCACTGTCTGGCTGCATTCTCTGCAGTCTCTGTCACTGGTTTCAGTATGAGCATTTGCCTTGTAACTGGATAACTTTACCATTTATAAGTTAAACTCAATAAAATATACAAATATTTGTCTAGTCTTCAGCTAATCACCAGGGTCCTGGGTTGATTTCCCATGTCATTCAAGAACAGCACCCCCCCCGCTGCCTTCTAAGGGTAAGCAAGAGAGATCCATGTTTAGCACCTGTCAATCTACCTAGAGTCTCTCTGGTTCCATGTAGATGTGCACCCCATCTCCTTTTGTGAGGTAAACACAAGCTGTCCCAGTGATACCTGCTGTGCTAAGCTAATGTGCTAAATGGAAAGGGTCAGAAATGGAAAAGCTGTGGGTTAATGCTCTTTCATATATGACCGTTGAGAGCCTTGCTTGTGTTTGCCTCCTAGTGGTCAGTCTTCTTAGGGGAAGGCTGTGGACCTTCCTCAGGAAGACATAAAGTCTCTACACATGAGCACCGGCATTTGCCCTTGACGCTGTGCTTAATGATTGGTGTTATACGCCAAACTAATGTATGATACACTGGATATAACAGGATCTTATTGAAACCTCTTGAAATATATCCGTGTGGGTTACCCGAATATGTCCTGTGGTAGATGGCTGTAATGATGGAGGAACTCGGCAACACCTACAGTCCCAGCGCATGCATTAGAGCCCTGAGAGCAGCCGGCACCCTGTCCTCTACGCCTCTGTTTCAGGCAAGACTTTGTTGGGTAAGCTTCCTGGCTCAGTTAGGTGTTTCACAGGATACAGTCAGCATGAGTTTGCTGGGATGACCTTGTTGGGTCAGCAGAACCCCCTGTAGGAATCCATTATGCACTGCCAGAGAGACAGGCCATCATAACAGGCATCATGGAGTGAGAACAACTCGTCAGGCAATATGGGGGGAGGGGAAGGTCTCAACAAATGATCTAAAGATTCCTGTTGTCTTTGGTGATACACTTACTTGCCTGGCTTGCCCACACTCTGTACAGCTCAGAAAGCTGCACCAGGCTTCACTCACTTTACCACTGTCCTCTGTCTTACTGGTATCTAAAGCTTGACCAACTGAGTCCCTGGATATGGGATGGTACATTTCTTTTCATACTTTGGTTCATTTTTTTGAGACTTACTTTAGAGATCCTCATTAAGGAACACACAGAACATTTCCAAGCGGCATGTAACACACTCTCAGTGCTGCTGTGGTATTCCACTGGGGTGGTGTGATTACTACAGCTTTGAGGCTTGAGTACATCTGCCAGCTTGGACTGTTTTCATGTCAACAGCATGGCTGGTGACCACTGGATTGGATTGATTCCTCTCAAACTACTGCTTGATCAGGAGCCATTTGTGGAAAAGGCAATAATCTATTAAATCAATGTGGACCAAGAATTTAATATGGAGTGAGGCTCCATCTGCTGGTCGACAGGAGAATTTCTGACACCTGCTGATTCTTTTTCAGCAGCTACATACATTCATCAGGAAACATGAAATGATAAAGAAATAAAGAAAGCAGAAGTACAAAACCAGAAATGTGCAAAATGTGAAAAATGTACAAACTGTCAATACTAATAGCCTGATCCCTGTTTTGCTGTATGGCTGCAAGACATAGATGCTATCCACTGACCTGAGACAAAGACTGGACTTTGATACTGTGTCTCCTCAGAGAGTCCTTGGATACCGCTTTTTTGACTTTGAGTCAAACGGTTGGTTGCTCAGCGAGTCCCAAAGGAGGTATATTACCTGAATTGTGAGGGAGTGGACCATGTGGCGTGATTCCCTGAGGGTGATCCAGCTTGTAGTATCCCCATTGCTGAGGACCTGAGTAACTGGACCAGGCCAAGAGGATGCCCATGTAACACCTGGTTGCAGCAGATAGACGGCCCTTTCTGGAGGATGGGACTGGACCACATGTCTACCTGGGGGGTCGCCAACCGGGATCCCAAGGTGTTTTGTTGTGTGGTGAGTGTGGCAATGCGCTGCACCAATGCGTGCTCCCCAACCTGACCTGACTTCAATCCCAACCCAAAAAACCTCCCAACCAGGCACATAGCCAGGTAGTAAAATAACAATTTGTACCCCCCTCAAAATTCATTTATGGTTACAGACCTGGTCCAGTTGTGGTCAGGTTTGTACACATCACTGATTGGCTCTCCTTTTCTGACCCTTTCTGTGTCCTGTTTAGGTTTCATTGCGAAAATCTAAGGGCATCATGGTGCCTTCAGTACCTGAAAAAGGAAGATTCAGGTTTTACCACACTTTGGGGACATTTTGGTCCCCAAATGCCCACACACACATACACACACACACACACACACACATACACACACGTTTATATGCATATCTTTGTTGGGACTTTCTATTCATTTCTACCCTAATCCCAACAATGACAACCTTAATCCCTACCCAGCCCTAACCTTAACCATAAGTAACCAAACAAAATACAAGTCTCTGGCATTTTTAGTTTTTTGATCGCAAAAAACTAAAAATGTTACATTGTAACATTGTACATTGTATATGTTACAATGTAACATATACAATGTATATGTTACATTGTGGGGACGTTTGGCCCCCACACACACACACACACACACACACAGAACGGCCCCGGTTTCTCTAAATTGTGAATTATTGATGAAGTCATCTCCCCCCCTTTCTTTCTCTCATCAACTGCCACCCACCCCCCCACAAACACAATGGCAGCTTTCTTCGCATGAGAGCCTCAGGCATCATTTCCACCTGCAACAGAATCTGTGTCGACAGACACTGGTGATAGGAAAACAGACAGCCACACAAGTACCCTTTGCCAGGTCCAGGACTGGGTACAAAAACACCCTCTGCTGGATCCACAACTTGGTATAGAGACACCCTCTGCTGGATCCACAGCCGAGTACAGAGACACCCTCTGCTAGATCCACAGCTGGGTACAGAAACACCCTCTTCCAGATCCATTGCTGGGGACACAGTGGGGAGCAAAGCCCCCTTCAGAGGACACACATTACACCATCACCCTTCAGTCAGAGGTAAGTTTCTGTGCTTGAACTTGTAGCTGTGTGAGCACTTCCCACATACATCCTCTGTTATTGGTGGACATCGACAATCGTGTTTATGCTATTTAAACCTGTTGTTCTAAATTTTTTTACTTCACTTTATGTAATTTCTTTTTCCTGTATATCATACAAATAATCAAATTTCATGCTGTATTGTAGAAACAGATATGGAATATGGGAGGGCTATCTTTCCTAGTACCAGATTTGCTTAGTTTAAATTTTTCAGATTATATATCTTCTAGTTGCTGAACCTTAACATTGGTTTCAAATATACAGTACTGTGCAAAAGTCTTAGAACAGAAGAAATTCTTACTAGTTTGTATTATGTTACTCTTAATTTGCATATATTCTAATGTTAAATTTGCTCTGAGCAAATGTACTTACTAACCAGATCAATAGCTTTGAACATTTCTTTTGATTGCCTAAGACTTTTGCACAGTACTGTATATGTAACACAAGTAATATCACAGCTATATTGTAATATACATAAATATAAGGGTGTTATGTGTTGAAGATGAAGCTGGTGTGTTATGCTGCTATAGTAGTGGCTTTATATACCGAGTGTTCTGTTAACATTACAAAAGGCATTTATTATACTTCAGGGGAATAGAAAACAATGTGGTATTTGTTTGAATAGTAGAAACTGATGTCTAAACTATAACAGCTCCTGTTGTTAGAGCACCAAGGACACTCCCATTTCCTTTCTCTATCTCCCGTTCCAGGTGATTCAGGTCTAGACATGAACCCTTGTCTTTGGGTTCTCCCTCTACTCATAATGGTACAGTCCAAACGGCACCATTTAAGCTGTGGGTGTGAAGAAGTCTGTGACTGCTGGAGCAAACTACAGTGGGTGAACTGTTCAGGCGCACTGCTTTCTCAGCTTCCTACTGGCATCCTCCCTGTTACTGAACACTTGGACCTGTCTGTGAACCACCTGACCTCCATCGACCAGGGGAGCTTCAGGAGCCTCCGAAAACTGAGGGTGCTGATCCTGAGTGACAACAACATTAGCTCCCTAGCTGATGGCACCTTTACCCCCCTGGACAGCCTCCAGAAGCTGGATCTGAGCCGTAACAGCATCTCCTGGCTGAGCCCCGGCCTCTGGATGGGCCTGGGGTCACTGAAGGAGCTTCTTCTGGCTGAGAACCAGCTACAGGACCTGAATGACAGGAGCTTCCGTCACCTAGATGGCCTGGAGAGGCTTAACCTGAACGCCAACTCCATCCGCTCCATCCAGACAAGGACCTTCAGTGGCATGACGGCCCTGAGACAGCTGTACCTCCACCACAACCGGCTCACCTCCCTCAGCAGTGGACTTTTCTCCACGCTTCGCTCCCTGGAGGTACTCAACCTGTGTAACAACCACATCAACAGCACCGAGGTAGGAGTTTTCACCCCCCTGCCCAGCCTGGCCGAACTCAACCTGGCTAACAATAGCCTGAGCTCCATCCACTTCAAGACCTTCCTGAGCATCCATAGCTACAGCACCCACATCCAGTTGGTGAACAACCCATGGTATTGCGACTGCGACCTGCAGAGAGTGTTCCGGAAGCTGCACAGTGTGCACAGGCTCTTCCTAGATGACTACCACAACCTGACATGCACCAAACCAAATGGGACTCATTCACCAGTGGAAGTGACGGACCCAGAGCTTTGTGCTGCAGAGACTGTGACTGTTCTCATCATCACAGTCACTGTAGTGATTGCTGTAGTAGCTGCCATTGTTAAGGCTGAAAGGAACAGAAGAAAAAGCACGGGCAAGCACTGGAGTGAGGACAGTGAACTGTCATATTACTCTCAGAGCTAGTTATCACTTCCTGCCAACATGATCATACAATGTTGGTCTTAAAATGAGAAACACCCAGTCTCCGCCTTAATATTGCTATTTTTTGTGTTAATATATAAATAATATATAAATATTAAAAATATTGTAAATGACATCCAATATGATTACCAGGACAAATCAATGTCTAGCTTAGGCAGCAGCAGTCTTGCTGGGTCTGGAACAGAATTTATTTCCCTAATTGACCGGGAACCATCCTAACGAAGTCAATTTTGTCAAAATGAATTGCAGCAATTATGGTCTACAGCCTGTAGTTAATCAAGGAGCAAAAAGAAGCACATTTCGGAGAGAATGAGGGGGTGCTGGGTTGGGAGTAAGTTTTTCTTTTTCTGAGGCTATAATAAATAATAATAAAGCCTAAAATATCAAAGTGACAGCCGTGTGTGACAAATTTCAATTGAAATTAATTTTTTTTCGCGCATTTTCTGAGATATAAGGTTATTATACTTATCTGTAAGGAAGTCTGCATTATTTGGAGGTATTGTTGTTATTTATTTACTGTATTGCAGTGTACTAAAGGATGGCCTACGAAGAAGGATTTGACAATTTTCCGAGTTTAGTTAAGGATCATTCCTACCGGACAAGCATGATTTCTAGCTTAAGTTAACGCAGCTAACTGAAAAATCTTGATTCATGGAATACCCCCGTGTACTATAGTGTGTTGTGTACAATCAATGGCGTATAAATAAAACAACATTTAACTTTTTAATATGAACTATTACCGGATATTAAAAGACTGAAGCCACGAAACTGAACAGCTACCACGTAGCCGCGCAACCGTAAGTCTCTGTCATTGTAACACAGTACATTTGGAGCGAGGTGATTCATCGAGAAGGAGGACAGCTACCCATCGCCGCAGAATTCGTCAAACAGTTCGAGACATGGCCTGTCACCTACAAGACACGTCTCCAGCATATTTCTGTAAACAGATCAAACTTCCGGGTCGCTCTCTGTATTGCGTCATCAAAGCGGGACCGGCTCGGCGGTGGCGTCCAGATATGACGCGTCTCGTTTCCTGATTGGCTGAACTGCTTGGGCGCAGTCCCGGAGGGATCCTGGAGAGTGTCCGTTGCGTTAGAAGCGGGGAGAATCGCGGAGATGCCCTCGGCGTAGCAGCGTTTAGGGCAAAGGAGCTGCTTCCGTCTACTGTCATCCACGGTAAGTGTAACCCCCACGTAGAGTAAAAAAAAGTTACCCCTGCAGGTGCGGAAAAAAACCTTCTTTGTGTTATGCATCGCTTCCCGAACTGTATAAATCTTCTATTTTGTTTATTTGGAGATCTGCCATTACTGTTTTGATTTGAGGATTAACCCATTTCGCTAGCCCAGATCCATCAAAGGGAGAACACCACATTAAACTTGCATTGAAGTACATTAAAGTGTATTAAACGGGCATCTGTTGTGCCGTATGGGTTTGGATAGAGTGGCGCTAGGTGGATAATTGCTGTCATATTAAATGAATGAATGAATAAAGACGTCAAGTGACGGCATGATTCTCGTACTAAAAATAGGCCATTTCACAGGAGTGAAAAGCTTTAAAAATAGATCATTTCACCGGAGTCAAAATCATTAAAATAGATAATTTCAACCAAGTGAAAAGCTTTCAAACCGGCGCCTCCCTCACCGATGTCCTTACTTAGTTGTAGGAGCTGTTTTGTGCACGTATATAATTATGCAGTAACTGCACAAAAAGGGTTTAAAACACAGTGAGCGCCTGTTCGATATAATCTAACATTTTTCCGTTTTTAGACGAAATAAATCGGTACTGAGGAGATTTCCAAGAAATAGTATCCGGAGAGTTTCAAATGACACAGTATTTAATATATTAAAGGTGCTCATCGTGAATCACTGAGGTCAGAAATCATGGTACAGTATTTGTTTTTCTCTATATGTATTTAACTGTGTGTTATTGCAGTTTAATTGATTTTCATTTGTAAAGACTGGACGGTAGCTCTCCAGAACCGGAGTTGGAGACCCCTGGTCTAAAGGAAGCTATTTGAGTCTTCCCTTTTGGGGGTGAAGGAGAATCCAGGTTAAGTATTTAAGGATTTGAACTGGAGCTTTGAGGAAATGAATCCGCATTCTTAAGAATTATGTGCTGTCCTGCTGCTGCACTATGCTGTTTGTTATTTTTTAATCACTGTATATATTTTCCTGGTGTACTGGCTCTACTCTCAGTCCAGACACGTTCTGCTAACCCATGCCGATCTTTCAGTGGACACCCTGACACCAAGAGAAATGTCTGAGCTCATGTGCGCCCTGATCCGAGCCTCTGAGAAAGCAGCAAACATCGCCCGATCGTGCCGACAAGAGGAGGCACTGTTTAGCCTGCTCATCGAGGAGAAGAAGGAAGGTGAGAAGAACAAGAAGTTTGTCACTGACTTCAAGACGCTTGCGGATGTCCTCGTGCAGGAGGTTATCAAGCATGACATTGGGAAAGAGGTGAGAGGTGCTGTAAATGCCAGACCACTGGATGTGCCTGGCTGTGGGTTGGGCTGCCAACAAGTCACATAGCCAATTGGGGCCACAGATGGAAAGTTCAGGTCCAGAAAGTAAAAATCCAGACCAAAATTTTGTTTCAACCAAATAGTTGCGCATAAAAAATCACAGTCAGAGTACTCAACTGGACGGTTGAAACAAAATCTTGATCTGGATTTTTACTATCTGGACCTGAAATTTACACTCTGATCGAGGCTAATCATGACACAATGACAGCACTATCCAAGTTCTGGGTTACTTCTTCCTGGGGTTCCTGTGTCTCTTATACTCAGGTTCAGCTGAAGGTGTCATTTTTGCTTCCTCCTAACTCCCAACACACCTGTATCAGGTATTTGGTGTTCTTGATTGCTTTGTTCGGGTGGAATGCAGGGGTTGCCGAGGCCTGGGTTGAAAAACAGGGTTCTAGGTCTGCTTAAGGGCTGGATTTGCTATTAACGGTAAAACATTTTTGTCTCTCTAGTTCCCAGATCTTGGAAACTACATCTTTGGAGAAGAGTCGAATGAATTCACAAACGGCCTGGGTATGCCTATTTTCTTGGGTGATTTTAGTATGTGGATTTTGTCTGGTGTGCCCACTGCCATGCTGATGACCAATGCTGTTGCCAGGGGAGACTATACGGGTGAAGGTGTGCAACACAGAACAGGACACAGAGGCGCTGCTCGGCACGGTTCTGGGTGGGAATGGTGAGGCGGCTCGTTCCCTTGCATGTGCCGCACATTTAGACGTGGCTGTCAGCAATCTGGGGATCGCAGCTGACAAGATTCCCCTAGACAACCTTGGCGTATGGGTAGACCCCATAGGTGAGGAGAGCCGGCAGGCACGGTACCCAGTCTGCCATCATGGCCCTTACTGGGGTGCTCACTGTCCATCCGTCTGTCTATACCCCAGATTCCACATTCCAGTACATCAAGGGAGTGGAAGACTCGGTGCCAACTGGGGGAGTGTATAGCCAAGGGCTGCAGTGCGTCACCGTGCTCATCGGGGTCTATAACCGGCACTCTGGCACTCCTGTGATGGGCGTCATCAACCAGCCCTTTGCCTCTCTGGATGATGCTACCCAAAGGTTGGTCACACTCATGCAGCAGAAGGGCAGTTTGTCAGCCCAGAGTATAAACACTACCCTGTGATAACGTACTTTACTCTGTCTCCAGATGGACTGGTCGATACTATTGGGGGATATCATCAGGCTCATATAACATCAACTCTCTTCAGCTGTCGACAGACTCTGCAGTGCAGCCACCTGATCAGCAGGGGGCGCCACTATCTGTGGTTCTCAGCACCGGAGAGGCGGCAAGCGTGAAGGAGGCGATCCTTCAAGTTTGTGGTGGCCGGCCACACTACGCGGCAGGCGCCGGTTACAAGAGTCTGTGTGTGGTACTGGGCCTGGTGGACCTGTACGTTTTCTCAGAGGATACCACCTTCAGGTGGGACTGCTGCTCCCCACATGCCATCCTGCGCTCCATGGGTGGTGGCATGGCCGATCTGCAGGAGTGCCTGAGGGCGCGGCGGGAGGGGAGGCCGGAGGAGCAGCCCGAGCTGCTGTACAGCCAGCCTATACCTGGGGCCATGGGGCCTGATAGGTGGGCAAACAAGGGTGGGCTCATCGCGTACCGCTCTCAGGCCCACCTGCAGGCGGTTCTGGAGGTTCTGGGGCCTCTCTCACTGTAAACGACATGGTCAAACTGCAGCAAGTGGTTTCCTCTCACCAGTGAGCCGTGTTTTGGACCTTTCATACACCGGCCTTTTGAAGGGGGCTTGCTTTAATTAAATGTTTTCTACAGTTAGGATAAGGTGTTTATTTACACAAATTGGTGTTCAGCGAATGGCTTTTAAAAAGAAATTATAAATTGTAGAGGAAGAAATGTTCATCATATTAGTATTAACTTACTTGACTGAATGTTAAGTCTTGGGGTTGGAAGCGGCTTTTGAGTCAGGGGCGTCTGTAGTCCTTCCCACTTTGCGGTGCTGCCTGTGTCACATGGTGTTCTGCCCTGTGAAACCCGACACCGTGTATTTAAATAAACCAAGCATAACTGTCGATTTCCGTTTCAGCGAGCACTTCCTGTGCTCCCTTCTGACTTCCTGCACATGCAGTGCCCTTAAGTTTGCATCGATTCAACTGACATAAAACACTGGGTCTAGTTCTGCCCAGTCATGCTGTGAAGACATCAGGCCTCGGAGAGAAACGGTCAATTGCACTGCCCGTACTGGGCTGCATTGTGTTTCAGAGACATGTAAAACTCCACTCATTTCTTCCTAAAACCCATGTGAAGGTTGCTTGGGAAATTGATCTTAGGAGGGCAACATAGGCCTGGAATCTGCAGATGATCCCCGTGATGGCAGTCACCACCATGAAGCTGCCCCCGTCCCAGTCAGAAATCAATCCTGCTCTGGTGATTCCCTGCCTGACCTTTTTCAAAAAAGCCTGATATTTTTTTTTTTTTAAATGACTAACTATGCTTTTTGTGCTGCAATTGTTGACATTAGATGAGTATTCATGCAAGTATACGATATATGGTATAATATATAAAGATATGTTATTGAGCAGGTAAATTTAAGTTTTATGGATGCTGTATGTTATTCTGTTGTGATATTTTCAAAAAAATGCAATGCCTAAATTGTTCAACGAGGACACATGAAACATTTACACATACAATCCTGTGCATTACCCAGTGTCTCCCTCAAAGTATAAATACATGGAATTGTCACCTATTTTTACACGAATTTAGAATTCTGATTGACTTAATGTAATTGTATTAAAACATGTGATGTATTCCAGACATTTAAAATTGAATTATAATAAATTTTATGTATTTGTCGAAACTTTTATATTTTAACGAGTATGATTAATCTGTATACCCGTAAACATAAACGGGTTACCTTTTACCAGTATTATGAATTACATATTTGTTAGACCTATATTTAACGTACATGTAAAAAAATATATAAAAATAGAAATAAATAAAACGTTTCTAAAAATATTTGCCTGCGATTTTTTTTATTTGTTCGTATCATGTAAAACACGTCTGATACGTAAAAAAAAAAAACATCTTAAGAAAGAAAGATAAAAAAAAAAAATGTAATCTGAAAATGTTATTAGCGTTGACCGCTCCACGATTCGACGAACTCTAAAGAGGTCGCGAGACTGGAACAGTGTATTTTTCTGGGTGTCTAGGTATAAGGTTTGAGAACCACTCATCTTTTATGTGTCACTCTAAAATCGCAGCCGGATTCCCCGACTGTGGAGCGCACCCTAGCAGCCAGCCGCAGGACATACTCCGCGGGGCGGGGCGGCGCGGCGCTGCGCGGCGCAGCCCGACCCCTCGCGATGCCGCCGCTGGTGCGCAGGTAAGCACTGACGTCAGCTGCCGGACAAGCAGCCGCTTTCACGGTGAACCCGGGAGGGACGAGTCTGCACCACCGTCCGGATCCCGAGCACCGCCGAGCCGGAGGATTTCATTCTGGTTTGTTTTGGATGGAGTGGGGACGAGCAGCGACACGGCTCCCAGATGATGCGTGAAGCGGGGACTTTTCGTTGGGATCGTACCAGTTACCTGCCGACTAAACCATTGGTGAAGCGTGACCACTAACTTAAACCGGGTTATAGGTGAGGAAGGAGCCGCCGGCACCTGCCGCTGGTCCGTGCTGGCACCCTGTTATTTTTGTGCGTGTAATTGCCGCGAGTGCTGAGAGTCTCCGACGCGGCTCGCCTTGGATACATTGTTACCGTTAAGCTTGGGATTCATTGTTCTCTCCGAGCGACGGGAAGCCGCACCGCCTTTTAATAATAACGCGCCTCTGTCACATTTGCTGTCGGGAAGCGCTTATTAACCGAATATAAGCGCCGCTCCGGTCGTTTATTTAAGGCGTAGAAGAGCGAGCGGAGCCTCACAAAACTTCCGCAAACGCGCAAGCGGCTGTAAGAAAAGCGACTGTCATCAGGGCGGAGGCGTTTTCTGCATGGAGGGGTCGCGGTTCTGAGGTGCCCTTCAGGCGAGCCGGTGGGTCCAGTCCGGTCCGGTAGGTTCCGCTGCTCTCTGCATACCCTGTCATCGCGCGGTCCGGTTAGGATGCCATGAAGCCAGACGCGTCCCGGCATGAATTATTCAGTATCCCCCGCCCGTCGTAAACGATTCCATGTCTGCGTTTTGCCGAGTCAATGTCGGCCTAAAATCGGAGCAGGACCCGGTAGGACCCCCCCCCCCCCCGTTACCTTGACAATAAATGGACGGAAAGATGTTCACATCAGCGCCCTGGGTTAGCACCAAATGGGATTTGAATGCATGTCGTTATTTGTCTTGTTATTTTTAGGTTATCTTGTTTTACTTCTCTTAACCAGGCCTTTAAAGGAAGTTTGCTAAGCTGGTTATAAGCCGCAAGTATGCTAACATTAAACCTGTGTTACAAATGTATATTTTGGTTCCCAAGTGTTCCTTCATTTTCAGCAGCCTCAATTCTTGAACACCATGGCCAGTGACGACCGAGTGGCTATCCTGACAGACGATGAGGAGGATCAAAAAAGGAGATATGTCCTGGCTGAGCCTTTCAACACGCTGACCTTGGACAAAGTGATGGACCTAGGGGACCCCGGGTCCAGCCCAGCCAGCCCCATAGCCGAGAGCCCAGGGCCCCCACAGCCACAGAGCCCTGACTGCCTGGAGAGGACCTGCATTCGCATTGACAACCACCTGCTCATCTCCAAGGTCTTCTACTTCTTCTTCTACGCAGCATATGGCTCGCTGCACCCACTGCTGTCTGTATACTACAAGCAGCTGGGTATGTCACCCACTCAGAGTGGCCTGCTGGTGGGCATCCGCTACTTCATTGAGTTCTGCAGTGCCCCCTTCTGGGGTGTAGTGGCTGACCACTTCAAGAAGGGCAAGGTGGTGCTGCTCTTCTCAGTGCTGTGCTGGCTTGTCTTCAACTGCGGCATTGGCTTTGTCAGGCCCGCTGATGCAACCTGTGAGCTGAAGGGCCCTTCTGCGGGGGGCCCTCCGAACGCCACGGGGTCCTCAGCTGTCAACCATTCCAGGCATCACCGTGACCTTGTCTTCACCCCTTCACTGCATGAAAATATGTCTGCCTTCAATTGGCTGTCGAGGTTTGAGAGAGAAGCCAAGGGGAACACCTCCGGCATCACGGGAGACTCCACGGGTCCCCCATCTGCCTCAGCTGCTCCCATGAGTACAACAAAGTCAACCACAGCTGCCCATGCTTCCCAAAGTGCTTCTGGCCCCAACTCCACCAGCACCAACATGGCTACCAGGTCACCTTCTCCTGCCCACAATGCTTCTGCTCTCTCCCCTGTCTATGGCCACATCACCTTGCCTGCAACCACATCCACGAGGTTGACGGTAACTGTGGCAACATCCACAGTGTCAACGGTATCTGCGATGACATCCACAAGTCCGGCTACCACGACCACCGCCAAGCCCAGCATCCATTACAACGAGGACCAAGTAGAGAGTATCTTTCTTCTGATCCTGCTGTTGGTCATCATCGGCGAGTTCTTCAGTGCACCGGCGGTGACTATTGTGGACACAGTCACCCTGCAGTACCTGGGCCGGCACCGGGACCGCTACGGGCTTCAGCGTATGTGGGGCTCTCTAGGCTGGGGCCTAGCCATGCTCTCCGTAGGCATTTGGATCGACCACACGCACATCCGACCTGCTGGGCAGGACCCCAACTGCAGCCTGCTTGAGAATAAGAACTACCAGATCGCCTTCATCGTTTTTGGGGTACTCATGGGCGCCGCCCTGCTGGTGGCCACCCAGTTCTACTTCGACAGTGCTGGCAGTGACAGCCTGCCAGATGTTGGGAAGCAAGAGGAGCAGGAGGAAGACGAAGGGAAGAGGAGGGAGATGGAGATGCCCCAGGTGGCCCGGAACGTGCCATCCCCAGAGGCAGGCCCTGGCGAGGCTCCCAGCACCATACCACAGCCCTTCCACTACCGGGACCTGCTTTGGCTGCTGTGCAGCGTGCGCTATGGCACTGTGCTTTTCGTCGCCTGGTTCATGGGCTTTGGCTATGGCTTCGTCTTTACCTTCCTCTACTGGCACCTGGAGGACCTCAAGGGAACCCCCACACTGTTTGGAATCTGCTCTGTGCTCAGCCACGTCTCGGAGCTTGCCGCCTACTTCGCCAGCCACAAGCTCATCGAGCTGGTCGGCCATGTAAGGTGGGTGGGGGCTGGGGCAAGAGGGTAAATGTCATTGCATATTAATGTGTGTCTGTTATTACTTTGGATTAAAGTGTTTTTACTATAACACCATTGATCCTAAAGAAGGACTTGGTTGTTATTTTAGGGGCTCGGCTAATCTGCTTATGCCAAAAACAGGAGTAATTTAGGTGGATTAGGGTTTACTGTTGAGTATTGTTGACATGATGTCTTGTTCTGCATCCTTGTTTAATCTCCTGCTAGTACCCAGATCTCCTTTTTGATGTCTCCTAATTTAGAGCGGATCTGAGACCTTCAATCACATGAATGTTTTCAAAATGGCTGTGTTACTCCAGCCTCACCAGGGAGAAGCTTCCAGAAAGCATCTGCCATCCATTTTGTAGTTTTTGGCCTGTTCTAGCAGCTGACTGGCCCCATGATGCATCTCACACTTGCAGGTGACATTTGAGAGGGCTGTGTCAGGAGCGAGCCCCCTTGGGCACAGACGCTCATCTGGTCACTGATGACGTATGTTTTCTGCGAAGGTGGCACATGCACGAGAGCATTGCATGCTGGGAAAAGCACTCCAGGGTTTCGGCTTGGCTGCTTAAGTAATTGGGAAGGACTGGCCCAGTGGCTCTATGTGGGCTGGGCACCTGCCAGGGTGTCCTTTCAGGTTTACAGCCTAGCCTGGGACAATGATTAAACTCGGTATCATTTGAGGTGGGCTGTAGGTACTAATCGAAACTCATATGAGGCCTGAGGCAAACTTCACCAGTAACTGGCAAAGTCGGCACCCCCTCAGAAGATAGGCAGTCGTCTATGGTGCTATGTGTTGACCAGCAGTGTGGGTAGTTCAAAGCCAGCATGACTCCAGCTTTAGTGGGCAGCAGAATGGCTGGGTGCTGGGACATAGCAGCCTGACCCGGCCCGCAGGTCATCACATTGCAGCACAGCAGTGATTTGGAATTCCTCTCACAGTCACAATTTGGTTGAGGAACCGTTTGTGTACCTAGAAGGTTGTAGATTTTGAGGGAAGTATTGAACTGGTGTTTGTTTGTTGTTTGCATAAGATAATATGGAACTTTATTGAAAGAAATACAACAAAGGATATCGTAAGTAAAAAGTAGGGCTGCACGATATCATATCATGATTATATGGCGCATGCACAATAATCACCAGGGCTTCAGATAACGGGAGTAAACATTTGTCTGGATGCCACCTTTTTGGTACTATACAGACATTTACTTATGCCCACAATTTGGTAAGAAGATTAGTACTATGCCTACAATATTAATGAGACACCCATAAGTTAGTAATCTGTATAAATTTGGCGTATCCTTATGGTCAGTCTTTACACTGCAGAAAGTACCGCCACAACGATGCTTTTTTTTTGCATTGTTTATCTACAAATATTTCCTCTTTTAAAACATGTTGTGGCTTCTGAGCTGTCCCTTTCTTCACTGCCACTTCAGTGCTCATCACTTCCGTGATCTTTGACAACAGCAGCATGTGGCATGTCCTACTAGCTGAATTTAATAAACATAAGGATACACTGAATTTATACAGATTAACTTTTGGGTGTCACAATAAGCCCAAAAAAAGCCTAAAATTAATATTTTAGGTGTACTACAAATCTGCTTATCAAACGGTGGGCATTAGTTATGTCT